CATAAAGATCAAAGGCATGATTAACAGGAACTGGAACTTTTCAGTCCCCCCCTCTTCCTCCTTCCTTGGAGGGAAAAGGCTGGGTTGGGGATTATCCTCGCCGACCAGTGAATTAATCAATCTTGCCTACAAAACAGCCTCCATAAAAACCCCTAACAGAGAGCTGTCAGGTTGGTGGGTCCCTCAAGGTGCTGGGAGGGGGTGTGCTTGGAGAGGGCATGGAGCTCTGCACCCCTCCTCCCATAGCTGGCCCTATGCTTCCCTTCCACGTGGTTGCTCTGACTTGTATCCTCTGTAGTAAACCTGTGACCATCAGTAAAGCACTCTCCTGAGTTGTGTGCCAATTATGGGCCTGAGGAAGGGATTATGGGAACCCTCAAATTTATACCCAATCAGACCTGTGGGTGGGCAGCTGGGACTTGCCCACTGGCATCTAAAGTAAGGGGCAGATTTGTGGGACTGAGCCTTCACTCACTATAAATAGTGTCAAAATTGAATTGGCCGTGGAGTTGAAGTGGTTGGTGCGAAGAAAACCCCCACACATTTGGTGCCAGTGTTGTGTATGAAAACAGTTCAGTGTGAAAACAAAATAATAACAGAATAAAATAAAATACAAACAGTTCAGTGTGAAGCACAGTCACTTTACTAAATAGCAGCTGTAACTATTACACCAAAGCACCGAGTGTCAGCCCCTCTAAAATCATTTTTCCTTATGGACGCTTGTGGGGCATAATGTTAGCCACTGGTCTTATTTTGTTTCACTGTTCTGTCTCCTAAGCTTTCATTGTCAAAATTACTCTTTCTAGCCCAGCTGGTGTGGCTCAATGGTTGAGCATCGACCTATGAACCAGGATGTCACGGTTCGATTCCCTGTCAGGGCACATGTCCGGGTTGCCAGCCCGATCCCCAGTAGGTAGCGTGCAGGAGGCAGCCAATGGATGATTCTCTCTCATCATTGATATTTCTATCTCTCTCTCTTCCTCTCTGAATTCAATAAAAAATACTAGTATTTAAAAAAAAACAAAACAAAGAAACTACTCTTTCTAATTATCCCCAGAAAAGATGACTTGCAGTTTTTGTAAACTGGATTAAAAAGGTTAAGGTTGCCAAACATGTATATAGAAGTTTATACACATAGAGTTGAATTTTGCACAAATGTGACTGGTCTTCGGGGATGAATGATGATATAATTAAGCCTAAATTCCTTTCTCCCTCCAGTCTCTCTGGGAATCGTGCAGTATTGAGGCCTCCCTCATATCTGTTGTGCATCACTCCTCAGTTTTAACTCACCATTCCAGTCAAGCATGCCTATTCAGATCCGACCAGTTCTCTCCCAGGTACCTCCTCCACTCAGATCAGACCTGGCAGCCAGGTGTGGCTAGTCTCGCCATAAAATCAAAGGTTCTGGAACAAAGGTTGAGCCCTGACTGGAAGTTTCCTCTTGTCAGGCAGAGAAATCCACTTCAACACAGAGCTTAGTCTTTGAAGGGTGAGGCTCTGAGGCTGGGAAATGTAATCAACATTTTCACATTGAATGATATGTGACAACTTTAGTGTTTATACTTGGTTGATTTTTTTTTTTTACTTGATTGATTTTTATTCGTGGACATTGCTTCCATATTTTATATTCTCAGATAGCATTTATCTACTTTCAAATTAATTTAGCCTAAATATAAGCATTAACAATAATAAAATTTTCAGGAAATAGTAAGAACTGCAAGTTTTCCTCATGAAAGAAAGACCCTGTACTTGAAACGGAGTAAAAATAAGTGTTAGTGATTAAAAAGACTGTAGTGTACAAAATTAAGTACTAAGCATGGCTTCTAAGACAGTTATGGGAGAACCTTTACACCATTAAAAATGTGTTTGGGCCCTGGCTGGTGTTGCCCAGTGCTAGTGTACTGGCCCTCAAACTGAAGGGTCATGGGTTTGATACCCGGTCAAGGGCACGTACCTGGGTTGCAGGTTCATTCCACAGCCCCACTTGGGACACCTGTGAGAGGCAACCAATCAATATGTCTGTCTCTCTCACATAGATGTTTCTCTCTCTCTCCTCCTCCCTCTCTCCCTTCCATCTCTCTAAGGATCAAAGGAGAAAATTACTCAGGTGAGGATTAAATAATAATAATAAAATAATGTTGAAGAAGTTATTTTAAAATGGAAAACATTTATTTTTAAATGTATGTGTATAAATATGTTTATGTACACATACGATGTTTATACGAACTCTTTAGTCTTTTTGGATTATGGCACTTGGCTATCCAAATCTACTTTGACCTCTCAGTAAAATAACTTAAAATTTGGTGTTCTATTGTATTTATTCCAGAGACTAATCTGGAAAATTTAGTGTCATATAGGACAGAAAATGTAATGCCCTTAATATAGCAGTAGCAAATTTACCAACTTTTCCTGTCATTTAAAATCCCATATGCTTAATTTGTGCTTTTGTAGTCGTTTTAGAAAGCTAAGAATTTCTTTTTATAATCCAAGATGTTAAAAGGATGCTCTAAAAGTAACTTTTAAATTTAAGGCCCATATATTACTTCTCGGCCTTTGACCAAGATCAAGTGTAGATATCTGTTCTTATCAGTTAAAAATATATATAGTATTTACTGATTTGAGAGAGAGACATCACTTAGTTGTTCCACTTATTTATGCATTCATTGGTTGATTCTTGTATGTGCCCTGACCAGGGATCAAACCTGCAACCTTACGTAACGGGGTAATGTTCTAACCATCTGAGCTACCAGGCAGGGCTGTTCTTATCAGTTTAATATCTGATATGTCCTCTATCTAAGGACAGCATATTAAATGGACTTCTGAAGCAGGGAGATGGAATAGGAGCTTGCTGTGTCTATTCCAAACATCCACCTGGTATTGCAGTACTTCGGGAATGGTGCACTACAAGAAAAAAGAAGAAAAAAATTAAGGCCCATCATTCTTCTGTTTGCTGTTAAAGTAAGTTGGATACAGACCTATAGGAGTTTAAAAGCTAAAATAAATAAGGGATCACAAACTAAGTTACATTCATGGGAAAGAATGGCTTCCTTTGATAGACTATTCAGTAAACAGAAAGCTGGCTGATGAGAACAAACATTTCCAGCCTCCCATATTTACTAAGAGAAATGGAGTTATAATCTTTTTTTTTTTTAATCCTCACCCGAGGGTATTTTTCCATTGATTTTCAGAGAGAGTGGAAGAGTGAAGAAAAGACAGAGAAAATCACCAATGTGAGAGAAACACATTGATTGGGTTGCCTCCTGCCTGTCCCCCAACCAGGACCCAGGCCAGGGAGGAGCCTGCAAATGAGGTACATGCCCTTGACAGGAATCAAACCCAGGACCCTTCCGTCTGCAGGCTCTATCCACTGAGCCAAACCAGCTAGGGCTGGAATTACAATCTTTAATGTAGAGAGATTAAAGGTTTTCTTATAAAAAAGTGGAGTTAAATGAGATGATCTCTAAGATTTCTGAAGATGTGATTTGCATATTGAATAGTCATGATGCAAGGGATGTAATTAAATACAACTTGATTTTCTCTCTAGTGGTCCCTTTAAAATTTATTCAGTGTTTCTCCCTCTTGGTGAAAACTGATAGGTCCATAACTTTTTGCTCACTCTCAGGTAAAAGACTATATATATTTTTAAAAAATATTTTTATTGATTTTTATATATTTTATGGAGTGGAAGGGAAAGGAAGAGAGATAGAAACATCAATGGTGAGAAAAAATCATCAGTTGGCTGCCTCCTGCACGTCCCTTACTGGGGACCGAGCCCACAGCCCAGGCATATGCCCTGACTGGGAATTGAACCTGTGACTTTTTGGTTCGTGGGTCGACGCTCAACCGCTGAGCCACAACCAGCTGGGCATGACTATATTTTAAGATCACAAGAAATCAGCCTCATTTCTGCCAACAGCTATTCCTAGTCTTATCTATTATTCACGATTTCAGTATTAATTTTCATGTGAGACTTCTAGATGGGCATTACTACTGCTCACCGATATTTTTAGTCCTTCTCTCCTTGCAGTTGGGCAAGCTTTCACTACTCTGGCCAATGAATTGTGTCCAGAGATAGTATGATCAGTTCTGAGCCACTGGTGATGAACGGGTGCCCAGTTACCCATATTCTCTCCTTCCGCTGGGGCTAACCCTGAAGCATCATGTTGAGATGGAGCTGACACAGTATCAAAGCAGCCTGGAATAGCATGTCATTACATGGAGGACAGCTGCCCCGGAGAGCCATCTGGACCCATGTTGGACTGTGTGTGAATGAAAAATAAACTTTTTTGTTAAGGAACTGAGATTTTTGTGTTGTTACTGCACCATAACCTATCCTAATACAGACTTTTCCATCATCCCCAAGCTATGGCTTCTTGCAGGTGGCTTCTCCCCTTCCTACTTAACAGTGGCCCTTGATCTGGGATAGGAGAGGAGGTCGTAATCAACCTCTCTCTCTCCCTGCTGCTCCTCCTTCCTCTGCTAGTCTTTGCTTCAGACTTGTGAGTCCTGGGGTAGGAGGAACGGGGTAGCATTGAGGAAGGAAAGAAATAAAGGTTCTTATTTGACTGAGTAGGTTTGTGTTCTCTGGGCCTGCAAGATATTTGCAGTTGACTTATCCTTTGTTTGTTTGTTTGTCCTTATTTTTTTAAACCCTCACTGGAGGATATGTTTATTGGTTTCCAGCAGTTGCCAACCGGTGGTCCAAGGACCACTGGTGGTCCATGAGGTCCGAAAGGTTGGCGACCGCTGGTTTAAGGAAACCTACAATTTAGACCGAAGAAGGTAGAGAGGAACATCAATTGGTTGCCTCGCGTACGTCCCCCAACCCGGGACTGAAAGGAAACCTAGGCACATACCTTGACTTGGAAGTGAACCTGTGACCTTTCCGTGCACAGGGCGATGCTCCAACCAAGTGAGCCACACCTGCCAGGGCTTTCTCTTGTCCTTTGACTGCAGCCCCTAAATGTGGCAATGAATATTTTTTTTGCACCTCACTCAGCCTGATTTTTTATATATATATTTTGTATTGATTTTAGAGAGAAAGGGAGAGGGATAGAGAGATAGAAACATCAATGATGAGAGAGAATCACTGATCGGCTGCCTCCTGAACGCCCCCTACTGCCCCCTACTGGGGATTGAGCCCAAAACCCAGGCATGTGCCCTTGGCCGGAATCGAACCTGGGACCCTTCAGTCCACAGGTCGATGCTCTATCCACTGAGCCAAACCGGCTAGGGCTCAGCCTGATTTTTTGAAGTGATCCACTTTTGCTGTTGAGGTCCCTTCCTATCAGGTGGCTCTTTGGGGC